ACCTCCAAGGCCCTCATGGCGGACCGCACCACCTCCATCAGGGAACTCCTACCCCCCCACCTCAGGTGCTGAAATCTTGTCGTTCCTTGGGCTAGTAGGCTTCTTTAGACATTGGGTCCCCAATTTTGCTATATTTGCTAAACCGTTATATGCTGCAGCTAAGGAAACTCCCACCGGCCCCCTCACTTCTCCCTCAGCTGTAGCCCACACCTTCGAGACCTTGCGAGACATGCTCCTAGCCTCCTCCCCACTTATACTTCCTGACTTCCGCAAGCCTTTCCTACTGTTCACCGAGGAAAGAACTGGGACGACAACTGGGGTTCTGGCCCAACCAGTGGGACCCTCTCACTGACCGGTCGCCTTCCTGTCCAAACAGTTGGACCCCACTGTCCAGGGATGGCAGCCTTGTCTCCGGGCGCTGACAGCTTGCTTAACCAAGGAGGCTCTAAAGCTTACCCTTCAACAGTCGGTTACAGTCTACTCCTCTCACAGACTCCAGGACCTCTTGGGTCATAAGTCATTATCCTTATTAAGCCCTTCTAGGGTCCAGGAGTTCCACCTTTTATTCATAGAACACCCCCAAGTATCTCTTTGCTCATCGCCGCTTCTAAATCCAGCTATTCTCCTTCCCTCCACTAGCTCCTCAGTTTTGCCTGAACATTCCTGTGTGGAGCTGGTAGAGGCCCCTAGACCCCCTCGCACAGGACTCTCTGACCAACCTCTGTCTAACCCTGATCTCACATTCTTCGTAGATAGCAGCTCAACTAGGGGGCTGGACGGAGGCCACAGGGCAGCCTATGCAGTAGTCTCACCTCCCACCGTGGTGGAAGCTGCCTCACTGCCATGAGGGACTTTTTCCCAAAAGGCAGAGCTGGTGGCACTCACCCGAGCATTACAGCTGCAAAGGGCTGCAGGGCCACTATATATACTGATTCTAAGTATGCTTTCCTTATCGCCCATAGTCATGTGGCGATCTGGAAAGAAGGGGGTTCTTAACCACCCAGGGAACTCCGGTGGTCAATGGTAAGGCCATTCAACATTTACTCCAGGTCCTACAAGAACCCAAGGAGGTAGCCATTGTTCACTGTCGAGGCCATCAGACGGGCACAAACCCTGTCATCCAAGGAAACACCCTGGCCAATGCCACAGCCCACCAATTTACCTCAACCCAGGACGCCACCCTTGTCCTGTTTCTTTCTCCCTCCCTAACTCCCAGGTACTCAGAGAATGAACAACAGCGACTCCTCAGCCAGGGCGCCGTGGCTGGGCAACAGGGGTGGATGTACCTCAGAGACAGGATAATCCTTCCCCAGACACAGGCAAAGGAAATTGTGGCCACAATCCACCAGTCTTTACACATTGGTCCCGAGGCCATGCACAGGTTTCTTTCCCCAATTTTCTCACCACAGGGTCTCCAAAAAACCATTGACCAGGTCCATATGGCATACGTTTCCTCTCAAGGAGCCCTCCAGTGCCGGACGGCAGCCCACCAGCTGCGAGGGTGTCTCCCTGGACAGGACTGGCAGGTGGACTTCACTCATATGCCAAGACACAAAAAGTACTGATACCTGCTGGCATGAGCTGGGAGACAGCCTCGGTGGTGGCTGAGACCTTGGTAGAGCACATCATCCCCCGCTTCAGTCTCCCGACGTCCATCCAGTCAGACAACGGCCCGGCATTCATTTCCAAAATCACTCAGCTGGTGGCCGAAACCCTCAACATTGTCTGGAAACTTTACATCCCCTACCGACCTCAGTCCTCGGGTAAGGTAGAATGGGCAAACGGCCTCCTGAAGGACCAACTAACCAAGCTTTCCCTGGAGGTAAAACTTTCCTGGCCCACTCTGCTCCCTGTTGCCCTCACTAGGGTGCATGCAGCTCCCCGGGGGCCGGTTGGCCTTAGCCCGTTTGAATTGATATATGGTAGGCCTTTTATCACTAACACCGGCCTTCCTACAACTCCTCCACCACAAGCCTCCTACCTGCCCTACCTCTCACTCCTCAGACACCTCTTACGAGAACACGCCAACCAAACCCTGCCCCAGGCCAACTCCACGTCTGACCCACGGGCAGCCGTCATTCTACAGCCTGGTGACGAAGTTCTCCTTCGAGAGCTCCATCCCTGGTCCCTTCAACCTTTCTGGATGGGACCTTACACAGTAGTCCTTACAACTCCTACCGCGGCTAAACTGTTAGGGCACCCCTCGTGGTACCACATTTCTCGGCTCAAGTGGGCCCCTCCCAACAATGAAGTGTGAAAATCTAATGAGGTGGGACCCCTCTGGTTACAGTTTAGCCGTATTGATGCTAGTAAGCCTAATCAATAACTTTACGATGACATGGGGAATGGCTGATTGGACTTGCAACCAATGCGTCTCTGCAGAAAAACCCCAACTCTACCAGCTGGTTCCCCGTACGTGCTATCTTCAAAAATTTTCTTGCCAACTAGGAACACAAAAATACTGGGCCGCAACAATGTTAAGAGACTTCCAAGCGGGCTGCCCAGG